CTGATGATAGTCATGACTACGCATCCTCAGCATCACCAGCAGTTATCATGACAAGCAACACAACGCATCCTTTGCATTCCTAGCCAGGTCCAACGGCACACCTGAAACGTATATTCAAAAGAAGAGCGATGATGAACTTGATGAGGAACATGATGACTCAAAGGATGATGATGAACAAGAACATGATAATGAACATAGATGATGATCATCATCAATCATCATCATCATCATTTGCATCATCATGTTCCTCATCATGTTCATCATCCTGATGATCATCATCAGCACGCATTCTCAGCATCACCAGCAGTTGTCATGACAACCATGACAACGCACCCGGCATTTCCATCCGGGGCAGCGCAATTGAAACGTATATGAAAATTAAGAGCGATGATGAACATGATGATGATGATCTATCAATCATCATCATCATTTTCATCATCATGTTCATGTTCATCATCATCATCATCCTGATCATAATCATGACTACGCATCCTCAGCATCACCAGCAGTTATCATGACAAACAACACAACACATCCTCTGCATTTCCAGCTGGGTCCAACAGCACAATTGAAACGGTATGAAAAATAAGAGCGACGATGAACATGATGATGATGGTCTATCAATCACCATCGTCATTTTCATCATCATGTTCATGTTCATCATCATCATCATCATCATCACCCTGGTGATAACCATCACTACGCATCCTCAGCATCAACAGCAGTCATCATGACAACGCACCCTCTAGATTTCCAGTCGGTTTTAACTGCACACTTGAAGCGTATATGAACATGATGAAGCACATGATGATGCAAATGATGATGATGAACATGATGATGATGATGAACATGGTGATGATGATGAACATGGACATGGTGAAGAAGAACACCCATCATCACTTTCATGATCATGTTCGTCATGATCATCATCCATCATCATTTTCACAATCGTGTTCATCATCCTGATGATAATCAGCACCACGCACCCTCAATATCACCAGCATTTAACGTCATCACTATGCGCCCCCAGAATCAGCAGCAGTTATCATGACAATGATCACGACGCATCCTCTGCATCTCCAGTCAGGTCTAACAGCACACTTGAAACATATATGCAAATACACCAGCCTCAACCCCAAACAGCAAAACAGCATGACAGGTCTGTGTAAACCAAAAAAGGCTTGTCTCCTTCATGTACGGTGCGAAATTGAGTAGCTTATGTGAGCAACACACAGTTACAACCAGTCTATGTATGTCCCTGTAGTAGGAAGTCCCTTTTTTGGGAAGAGGACTCATCGGGTCCATCCATCTCCTTGACGCTGGGGAAAAGCATCGATGCTGCTCATTGACTTCGAGGAGGAAAATGCCATGTCAATGCCATGTTCGAGAGTGAAGGCCCCAAAGATTCGGGGTGAATCAACCTGACACCTGGCATTTCGAAGGAACTTCCGCAGTACGGACGCTCACTGCACCCTCGCACTTGCAAGCCCTGAGCACTTTCGGACACGTGCGAAACAGCAGCGTCCAAATTGCGGAATATGTGGAAAACAAGGCTTGGAATTCTGTCTTCAACCCTTCTGTCAGGCGGCAACGAGATATGTCAAAGTCCCGACCTTGGCATCACGAAGGTGTGAAATGCTTCAAGCAAAATGCGTTTGTCAGTGGGACTGAATTACATAGGTTGCAAAGAGGAAAAAGCGTCGCAGGACCAGCTAGCGAAGCGAAAGACTGGATATGATTTTGGCCGGGCCACATGACTATCCAACTGCAAGGTGCTAAATACTGGCAACGAGGTTTACAACAGCACTGCCAACAAGAAAGGGCGCTTGAACTACAGTGATGCTACCAAGAGGAAACTAGAAGATGGGTGGCCCGAAAGCATGAGCAGTGCACGGCGCCAAGTAATCCTAGCAAGTTCTCTGCGCAAGTTCGTCTGAGCAAGTTGTTGGCGCGAGTTCCTTTGAGCAAGTTCTCCAAGGAAGTTCTTGGCACAAATTTTCTGAGCAAGTTCTCGGAGCAAGTTTCTCTGAACAAGTTTCAATGAGCAAGTTGTCTGAGCAAGCTCTCTGCGCGCAGCGCTTGCCGCAACACACTGCAACTTCGTAGTGCAACTCAATACTGCAACTTGCTAGTGCCACTTGCTGGTGCTACTTGCTAGTGCCACTGGCTAGCGCTACTGGCTCGTGCATCTCGCTAGCGCTATCTTGCTCGTGCTACTGGCTTGCGCCATTTTGATAGTGGCAGTTTGCTAGTGCAACTCGCTAGTGCTACTTGCTAACGCAACTTGCTTGCGCAACTTGCTGGTGTCATCCGCTGGATCCCCCCTCCCCCCGCTTCATACGATTTTGGCTGAGATGGTGACGAAACCCGCGCAAGCCCTCTAGTTGCTTCGCTGGTAAAATGCTTAGTGGAGCCGTGCCCCTTCTCCATTCCAAGGGTTTGTTGCCTCGGAGCAAAACTGTCAACGAAACGGCTCAGCACCATCACACACATCATCACCCCCCTTCTCCTCATCATCCTCCTCCTCATCCTCGTCATCCTGACCCTCATCACCATCATCGTCACCACCTTCATCAGCCACAGAATCGACAGCCACAGAATTGACAGAATCCTCCTCATCCACCCTCATTGTCATCCACCTGCACTCGCAACGTCTCCCGCTTGTCTCCCTGTGTCTCCCAGCTTCTGCAATCAGAGGCCGGACACTGTGACGCCGGCTCCTGGGTCGTGTCTGCCCGCTTGTCTCCCTGTGTCTCCCAGTCTCTGCGGTAAGATGCCAGATGCTGTGAGGATTGGGGTCGTGTCTCCCGCTTGTCTCCCTGTGCTCCCAGTCTCGTTTGCCTGTGTCTCCCAGCCTGCGGTCAAGGAGGGCCCGGGCAAAACCAACTGAAGCTGTTTCTTCTTTGGGGCTGACCTTGTGCTTCCAGCTGGCCGTCCTCAACAGGACCAATGAAGGTCCCGGGCCCCGAACAATACCAACTGAAGCTGCTTCTTCTTCGCGAGTTTAACCTTGCTTGCTGCAAGCTGGCTGTTTTCCTGCTTACAGCCCTCAACAAGAAAAATGAAGGTCCCGGGCTTACCCAGTTTTGAGGCTGACCTGGCTTGCTTGGCATTCATAGATTCGAAGCCAGAAGGAACGACTTGCGAAAATGTTTAGCAATGGGGAAAGGGCATGTCGCAGATTTTGCTGTTAGCCTGTGGCCTGTGCAAGTGCTCTGCGCAAGTTACTCTGCGCAAGTCTCTCTGCAGGTCTCCACATCGCTGCCCGCGAGCGCCCTGCGCAAGTTTCTTTGGGCAAGTTGCGATTTTCCAGCCGGAGCTGTAAGAGTGCACTTCCCGTACTACTTTCGCACTTAAAACTTGCGATTTTCAAGCTCCAGCTGCGGGGAGTGGACTTCGCATACTACTTTCGTACTTGAGAGTTATGGCTTTCGCTTGCGAAGCCTGCCCGCAAACCAGGGGGGATAGGGGGGCGTCGAACCCGCGACCCGCCGGTCCCGGGAGCAGGCGCGCGAGCCACAAGACAACTCGTCGCGCGAGCGCCGCAGAAAACGCGAACAACCTCGAGTTTTTGCAGCTTGACCACGCCGATCCCGGCAGAGGGTCGCGCGAGCACCGCAGAAAACACCAAAAAACCTTGAGTTTTTTGCACCTTGGCCACGCCGATCCCGCAGAGGGTCGCGCGAGCCAAAACAAATTCGCAAAAACAACACTTCGGGTTTTTGCACCTCGACCACGCCGATCCCTGCAGAGGGTCGCGCGAGCTTGCAATGACTCTCATGACTCCTTGCACTTGCCACTTGCACTTGCAATGACTCTCATGATGATGACTCTCATGATGATGACTCTCCGTTTCTGCGGTCACTTTCTCCCAGTCTCGTCTCCCTGTGTCTCCCAGTCTGGTCGGATGCCACATGCTGTGAGGCTGTCTCCGGGGCACTTGTCGCTTGTCTCCCAAGTCTCTGCGGTCGGATGCCGGATGCTGTGACGCTCCGGGGTCGTGTGGTCGTGTCTCTCGCTTGTCTCGCTGATGGTGACTCTCATGATGATGACTCTCATGATAGTGACTCTCATGACAATGACTCCTTGCATGACTTTCATGACGATGACTCCTTGCAATGACTCTCATGATGATGACTCCTTGCAATGACACCCTGCAATGACTCTCATGAGAACAACTCAAGTGATTCCAGTGGAAGAACCTTTCGGGAATATACTGTGACATCCGGCTGATTGGCTTTGCTCAGGACACTGAGCTGCTTTTTAGAAGCCAGTGCCGCACTTTTCGGCCAAGTGCAGGTTTGCATCCTTGCGGCGCATCAGCAGAGCCCTGTCAAGCCTTAAACATGTAGACTGTTTTCGATAGACAAATACCGTGACATCCGGCTGATACTGAGCTGCTTTGTGGAAACCAGCGCCGCACTTCTTGGTCAACTGCAGGTTTGCTTGCATCCTTGTGGCCCTCCAAAAAGCTGCTCAGTATCCTGAGCAAAGCAATCAGCCGGATGTCCCAGTATATTTGTTTATCGACAAAACAGACACATTAAAGGCTCGACAAGGCTCTGCTGATGTGCCACAAGGATGCAAACGCGGTTGACCAAGAAGTGCGGCGCTGGCTTCCAAAAAGCAGCTCATAATCCTGAGAGCGTCACAGCATCGCAGGGACTGCGAGACACAGGGAGACAAGCGGGAGACACGACCCCGGAGCCAGCGTCACATCATCTTGCCTCTGACCGCAGAAACTGAGGGAGACAAGTGGGAGACACGACCCGGAGGCAGCGTCACAGCGTCTGGCATCCGATCGCAGAGACTGGGAGACAAGCGACAAGCGCAAGACCGCAAAAACTACAGCGAGACAAGTGGAAAACTTCGCTGTTTGGGGTGATAACCATCACTAAGACAAGGACAAAGACAAACCCTTCCCATGCGCCTCCCCTTTGCAGAAAGGGGTCGGCGGATTTGTCTCACCAGCCGTGGCAAAGGCTTTCACAACCTGGCAGGTCGTCGCGTCTGCCATTGTTGACAAGTACATTGGCGAGTCAGCGCGGATCATTCGGGAAATGTTTGGCTACGCAAAGGAGCACCAGCCCTGCATCATTTTCATGGATGAGAGCCTTGCCTAAGAAACACCAGCGAATTTGATCAGATCTGGTTTACCAAGGATCGACGCAATTGGAGGGAAGCGATTCTCTCAGGGCACTTCCGCTGACCGAGAAATCCAGCGAACCTTGATGGACCGACCGACATGGTCTGCATGGGTCAACCGCACGCAACGCAGGAGCTGTTGAACCAGCTCGATGGATTTGATGACCTGGGCCGTGTGAAGATCATCATGGCAGGGCGCCCAGGGCACCTGAGCATGCAGAGAGCATGCTGCAGAGCATGCTGCAGAGCATGCTGCAGAGCATGCTGCATGACCTGCATGAGTTGGGGTCACGGGAGGCCACAAATCGTCCAGACACGCTCGACCCAGCACTGCTGCGTCCCGGGCGCTTGGATCGCAAGGCGCTTTGGATGGTTCGATGCTGTGTTGCTACTTGCGCGGTGCCAGATCGAAATTCCGCTTCCCAACGAACAGGCCAGAATCGAGGCTGGGAGTTCAGATGGAATGGAACAGCGCAATCAAATTCGTAGCAAAGTCGCCGCCAGATTCTTAAGATCCATGCCAATCCCATCACAAAGCACGGTGACATTGACTATGAAGCCATCGTGAAGCTCACTGACTGCTTCAACGCCGCTGATATGCGCAATATTTGCACTGAGGCATCGAGATGCACGCTAGCATGCTTGCGGTTGCTATGCGTTAAAAAAGTGCAAATTGCACTTGAACCTTGTGACTTGCGAGTATCGTGAGTACGGTGAGTACCGTGAGGCAGGCATGTTTGCTATCAGAGCAGAGCGAGACTACGTCGTCGAGGAGGACTTCATGAAGGCCGGATTCGTAAGGGCCAGGATTGCGACATACGGACGTGCGCAGGCAGCCAGAAAGATTGCGCAAAGCTCAGACGAAGTTCAGAACTTCACGTGACCATTTTTATATGTATTCACATGTATTCATACGTATTCATATTCCATGTCATGCTTCCTACTTGCATCTCAAGGGGGACAACAAGAAGCTTGAGGGCAAGCTGGACTACGAAAAGATATAATTTCCAGTCCTGGCCAGAGGTGCTAGGCAGCAACAGTCTCAATTCTGAGCAGCGTGCAGCTCAGTCAGAAGACAAAATGATGCTGGACTTTGCTTTGCAAGCTTTGCAGTTAAAGTCAACGAGCAATTTCACTGTATTTCCCCTTGCCCCAGTGTCCCCTTCATTTCCATTCATGTCCCATCCCTTTATTTGCACTTCGTTCCGCTTCATTTCCTTTCATTTCACTTCACTAAAACATATTAGTTACGCATGCTCCAGCAATCGAAGATTGTAGACGGTTTGCCATGCTTGCTCCAAAAATGGAAGATCATGCGATTTCTGGGAGATTGGTTCAAATGTTTATAAGTCTTTGGTGGAAATCATGTATTGGAATGTAACTTAGCCGCTAAAGAGAATAGCCGGCTTGATCCTCAGAATGTAATGAATTTCTTTACTTTGGAAAATAGAATAAAGCGCACTTGAGAATGTCAGTCCTATTTCTCCCCCAAACTAGTTTGTACAAGATTACGGATTTTAGTTGGTATTGCATCATTACAAGGTTTCACCGATTGCTCGAGTTCATCACATGTTTGCAAGAATGATGAATGAAGGTTATAGAGAGAACGGAAATTTGGTGATAGATGTCAACTGGTCAACCAACCAAGTACATGGAACCACTCGCGCTGGAAACTTTGACCACTGATTTCAATGCTGACAACATGCAACGAATTACTTATCAAGCTACTTTGGTGTCCAGTTCAAGTATACTCCTTTGAGACATGTAAAGACTTTGCAATTCGATCTACTTATTGAAAGCCACTGGTACTACTGCCAACGACTGCCAAGATGCCGACGAGTACCGAAATACAAGCAACAAGTAATGCAAGGATAGTGTGTGATATTTGTGCTTCACATTCTCAATTCAGGAATGCCTACGTAGATCGCCTGGACGACAAAGGGACATTGCAATTTACATTATCAACCAACTCAACTCAACGCTTTCCCTGAATATGCTTGTAAATCCTAGTCAACAATGCTTTTATCACTTGGAAGCATTAAGCCTTCCAATCTTCCACCAACACTCTCTTTCAATTCAACCGTGAAATTCTAAAGAAAACCATTGTTTCCTGGTCGATGGTTTCTTTGCTTTCAATTTCGAGCGATTCAGCGGTAATCTGGGACCTCAAATAAACCTGGGCAGCAGATGTTGGTAAACATAATACTTTTTTGATAGTTCCATTCCTGTTGGAGACAAGCCTGACCTTATACACACACATATGGTCCCCCCCCTCCCATGATCCACACCTAGAGTGTGGTGTGCAAGAACGCGCTGCAAAATACAGTGTCTTCTTCGCATATTCTTCCTGTTTAGTCTGCTCAAAATCTGACCCGATTCTGGTCAGAGTTTGATGAAGCAGGCTGCATTCCATTCTTTTTGTGGCATGCGATGAGGCAGACAACCTGCATTGTTGAGCAGATGTGTTTTCTACATACAGCTTGTTGATTGCAAGATGGGTTTCAGATGAAGCAGTCTGCGCTCGTTCGACTGCCTTTCAGATGAAGCAGAGGGACTGTCAGCTTCCATGCAACAGAAAGGTATCTCTCAGCTCTTACATAATTTTGCGCATTCAAGAGTGAGGAGTCCCTTATCTTTTAAGCTTCCAGAAATCGGGACCGGATCCTGCAGCATTTTGTGCATCTAAGAGCAGGTCCCTATTTTTTGAACTGGCAGATTTTCTGCCGTTGGAAGCAAAAAATGTTGTGAGGGTAAGGCCCCTCAACACTAAAAAGAAACTATTCTCTATTCTCGAAGGCTCTTGGGGACCGGACTTGAAGAGTCTTCAAAGATAGCGTTTTGTTTTTCATGCTTTTTGAGACCTTACAGCCTGTTGGCAGGTCAAGGCCAACAAAAGGGCACCGAAGAGAAATCCAGACATCCAATCAGAAAGTCAGACACTTAAATGTCAGACATCACCGCGCAAAGAGTCAGACATCACCGCGCAAAGAGTCAGACATCACCGCGCGAAGAGTCAGACATCACAGCACGGAGAATCAGACATCATAGCCGCCGACACCCGCCGCCCGTCGTGCGTCAAGATCACAACTCGCCACCCGACCCCCCTTCCACCCAGTTTGGATGATGTGGAGACTCGGAGATGAGGGATTCTTGTGTCTGTGATGCCGCTTTTTGTTTTTTTGGGCGTCCTTGTGCATCCTGGTTTGCATGCTGCTTGTTTTCTTGGCTGCTTGCCTGCGTGCCTGCTTGCTTGTATGTAAGTATGTATGAATGTATGTATGTATGTATGTATGCATTGTATCTGCTGTATGTATTGTATGTATTGTATGTATGGTATGTATGGTATGTATGGTATGTATGGTAGGTGTGTATGTGCGTCATGTACTGTAGTGTAATGTATGCATGCATGTAATGTACGTATGTATGTATGCATGTATGTATGTATGTATGTAATGCATGTAATGTATATATGTATGTATGTAGGTAATGCGTGCTGCATGTATGTATGTGTGTATGTATTGTATGTGTGTAATGTAATGCAATGTAATGTAAGCCAATGAATGTATGTATGTATGTATGTATGTGTGCAATATGTAATGTAATGTCATGTAATGCGATGTAATGCAATGTAATGTAATCTCATGTAATGTATGTACGTAATGTGTGTATGTATGTAAAGTAATGTAATGTAATGTAATGGAGTGCAGTGTAAGTGTAGTGTAGTGTAATGGAAATACATAACAACCCACGACCTGACTTTGGCCACTCCTAAGACAACATGTTTGAAGGACCAGTCACTGGCAACATCCAACGGAGAGGTAACGGAAGGCACGCGCGTCACCGCAGGGCAGCTGACGCCCTACGCGCAAGTTGCAGACCTGGCTGTGAACACGTAATATAATGTAACAAGGCCCACATAGGTGTCCCAAAGAATAAGTGTCAGACACATCCTCACTGGAGTTAATTTGTGTTTTGATTCTTCTCATGAAGTGATGATTGATGCAAACAACATTGGTAAAATCAACACGCCGGTCAGGCAAACTTATCCGAACCTCACGGCATCCCTAGTTGAGTTATAAAGATAGTCATGTTGAATCAAATCATATGACACATCACCCTAAGTCTGCAAATGACCGAAATTTTGGTCCGCCTTTTGACACGCATTGGGAGCCCCTGAGTAAAACTTTTTGACTCCTCAAGTACTCCCCCCTTTGATCAAGGTGTTGAATCAAGTCACTTCGTCGTTTAAGCTCCACTTGTTGTTGGGCTTCTTTGTTCGAGGTTCTTGTGGGTTGTTGATACTAGGTGCCCATTATGCCTTGTATATTGTATGCATGTTACATGCATGTTGTATGCATTGTGCGTGCATTATGTGTCAACTATCATGCATGTTGCATGCATTGTGTATGCTTGTTGTGTGCTTGTTGTCTGCTTGTTGTATGCATGTTGTATGCATGTTGCATGCATGGTGTGTGCGTGCTGTGCGCGGGATGCACGTATCTTTCATGCACTTTGTGCATTTATCACGCATGTTGTATGTATGGTTGTATGCATATTGTATGGATGACGAGCGCACGTTGTTTACACGGTCTATGCATTGTGTTTGCGTTTGTATGCATGATTTTTGCATTGCGTATGCATGGTGTATAAACTTTGTGTGCATGTTGTTTGCATGTTCCATTGCATGGTGTGTGCATTTTGTATGCATGATGTATGCGTTTGCATGCATGTTGTATGACGTTGTGGGCATGTTGTGTGCATGTTGTATGCATGTTGTATGCGTTTGCATGCATGTTGTATGATGTTGTGGGCATGTTGTATGCATTGTGTAAGTGTGATGCGCCTATTTTGTATGCATGTTGTATGCGCGGTGTATACTTGATTTGTCGTCGTGTATGCATCTTGTATGCAGTTTGTATGCATGCTGTAGGGGTGCTGTATGCATTGTGTAAGTGTTGTGTATGAATTGTGTATGCATGCTGTATGCGTGTTGCGTGTCTGTTGTATGCATGTTGTGCGCACCCTTGTGTGCATGTTGTATGTGTATTGTACGCGCAACGTATGATTTCTGTATGGATGCCGTATGCCTTGTGTATAACTGATGGTCGGGATGGTTGGGACGGTGGGGATGGGCGGGACAGACGGTCGGGACGCTCGGGATGGTTGGTATGGTCGGGATGGTTGGGACGGTGCGCGGTCGGGACGGGCGGGATGGTTGGGATGGGCGATACTAGGTTCTGGAATCACCAGACACATGTTACCAGCAAGAGCATACAAAAGAGGGGTTAAGTAAAGGATTTTAACACCCCCTTTTTTTATCTAACTGACCGTGCAACTCATTTTTCCTGTCCGTGTGATGTCACGGGATGATGTCCGACCAACGCCTGCCGTGTGTCCACTTGCCACATCTGGATGTCCGACTCGCGTCGTCCCCGATGTCCGACTCCCCGAGCACGATGTCCGACTACCGGTGTCCGACTTTCCGCTTAGCCAACAAAAGGGACCTAGTTGTATCTCAAATTCCGGTGTGCCAAAATAAAATGGCATGTACCTCTGGCTTCACAAACGCGTGTCCATGAGCATGTCCTTGTAGACTGTGTGTTTCTCCTGCGCGTGGAAGGGGAAGCACGGCCCTCAAACATGGCTGATGTGGTCCGGATGCCGGGATGGCATTAATGTTGAGCGCGCCCTCATTGGCAGTCAGCTGTTGGTGCCACGGAGCAAAGCGCAAATGCTGGATGCACCCATTGCACAAAAGGCTGCTCCCACTTTGGCCCCCAGCGGTTCGCCGGTGTTCTGCCACCATTTGCCCAGGAAAGCTTTGTGCAACACATCTTGTGCAGATTGTACTCTTCCCTTAGCATGTAATCCGCTCCCCCAATTAATGAATGATCCCAATTAATAATAAATGCAAATCCGGGGCCCGGGACCAGATTTCCACTCCACACAATTGATTTTCCATTGCGCCAATACTAAACCAATACTAACGTCTTGGAATCCTTATTAGGGGGCACTTTTGGCAAGCTTCCAGCCTCACTGTCTCTCTCCCGTACATGCTGGCTAATTAACCTGTCTGGCTGCAAACAAACAACCAGTAAACTGGTAAACAAATAGAATGATGCATCAAATTTCCTTATTGAACCGCTTACTTGCGGACCTTACAATTCAATCCATTTCATCCAAATCCTACGTGAACCCTCACATTGTTGGAAAAGCAAAAAAAACAACCCCAAAAACTCAAATTTAAAATAAATAAATAAATAAATAAATATATTTTTGTGGGGATTTATTTATAATAGGGGGGGGGGGCCGTATTTATTAATAGGGGGAAGAGATTATGTGATGTTGACGCCCAACTGTAGGTGCACTGCGTGGTACACCTTATTGAATCCTGTCATGTAGCCGCCCCGATCATGTCTACCACGTGTGGCATGTCAAATTGGAAAACCCCAACGTACCCCTTTTTTGAGTCCCCTGTGCAGACTGTCCCAACAAGTTTGACAGTAGTGCTCGCGACATGTTCCTCATTTTGTGTGACCTCGTGTTTGTCCATGCGATGTGCTCCTGTTTGATCATCGCAGAGGAGCATTTGTGACCCCGCGTGGGCACGCAGCGTCTGTGTGTCATCCATAGCCTAAACTGTGTACCCCATATCCTGGGGGCGCCGAAACCTCTCGCACAAACGCATGTACCACTTGTGGCTGAACGCAAAACGGCTGCAGCATGTGCCAAAGCATTGTTTGACACATGTACAAACTGATGCAGGAAAATGTATCAAAGGTTGTAAAGTAAAGGAAGTCCATCCATGGCAACCTACCTCCTTTCTCCGCTGATTTGGTAGTGATACAAATTTGCAAGCTGTGCAACAGCTGTTTAACGCATTGCGCAGCGCTGACTCAGTGAAACTGGTTGCAATGGCCTCACAGGCCAACTTTGTGCATGTGGTTATTGAGTGTGTCACAGCCGACAGGCTTTGTCAGTATGTCAGCTGGGGTGTTTTCTGAACCCACCTTGCGCATTATGATGATGTTGCTTTTGACAAGTTGTTGTATGAAGAGGTGTCGCAGGTCAATGTGCTGTGGTACCTTCTCTCCTTTGAGATTGATTTGCCTGCGCTGCTGTTTGTGTGCATTCTTGTGTTGGTACGTACCACAAAGGCCTCCTTGATGAAGTTGCAGACGTAGAGGCTTTCTTGCGCTGCCGTACAAATCGAGTGCAGTTCTGACTCTGCTGATGGAAGTGCTATTGTTCTGCTTCCGCAGTGGCTGCTCTTGTTACGGTCTTTCTTGTTGTCTCGCATGATGCAGTCGGTGTCTGTGCATGTGTCGATGTTGAGTGGGACCAGCTTGTCCGGTATCTTGGTCCCTGTGCCCTTGAGGCACCTTCTTCTACCAATCTCGTGTTCCACTCCACTCCACCTCTCACCTTCCCTTTAAAAAAGAAAGCGCCTGCCCGGCCCTCGGGCGCAAGAGAAATCAAGCAAAGGGAAAGGAATTGTGCTTTGTCACAAGCCGGCTAGTTTTCATTCGTAAATACTTGTCCGAGTGTGTTGCCATGACTTAAAGACGCCTCTTGCCCGACCTCTCAAGGGCCAGCTGTGCTATGTTGGCAATAGCCGACGATGTGGATATGCAGTTCTTGGATTTCTTGAGCACACTTTTCTCACGAGTGCCTCTCAGGAAGCACGTATATCGGGACATCCCTTCCCTTTCAATCCAACCAAAAGGATGTTGTTTGTCCCTTCTCCTTTTGCGAGGGCCCTTTCCGAGGCTCAAGGAAGCGCTCAGGAGCTGGCCCGGATCGGACACGGCCATGGAGACGATGAAGGGGAGGAAGCGAGGCTGGGCAGTTTACATGCAGCGTCGCGTTTCACGATTGCCCCTCAAAAGCCTCAAGGGCTTTTTGCCAGTTGGATTGGATTCCTGGCATGGTGGCTGCATTTGGTGTATTGCCATGGACCTGCCAGGTCAGTTTGAGCTGTGTTGTTTGGGCTCAGAGACGTCAACGGCATTAAACTGTGGAATTGCTTGTGTGTTTGGCAACGCAATGTTTCCTATGCCAGCAGTCGCCAGAAGCAGCAATAGTTTATGTGTACACCAAGGCAGATCGGCAGATCACTCAAAGACCAAAGAAGGAACACTCACCGAGTTCAACCTAATATTACAAGTGCTGCGCCAGCACCGGCCATCCTGCGCAAACACTTCCGGCGCAGCCATTGCAACATGCTTGCAACATGCTTGCACTGGCAAAGAGCAACTGACGCATTTGACTTGTCACTTGAGCTAGCAACCGGTGACAGCAGTCTTTGTCACAGCAGTCTTTCCGAGGGTGCAGCCATGCCGTACGATTTAGCCAGCGGCACAGACTCTGATGGTAGTTCCGCAAGTGATGCAGACTCGGACAGTTCTGGTGCACGTTGCGCAGGCTTCCGCATATTCCGACGTGCCCATGCCCGCGTGGCGCTAGGGGTGGAGGATCCAAAAGCTCGACTTGCCCAGGAATATCAGTTAAAGGCGGATGGTGTGTACAGAGGTGCGCAAAAAGTTCGGACCGAACTGACTTGCATACAGCAGTGGCTGACTCGGGATAACGAGCTGCTGCTTCACAAAGACTGCATCTCGTACATGATAGCTGACCGGGCCACAGAGGTCATTCTCATGGACCCAGAGGACCTGGAAGTGCGGGCTGTTTTTGCTGATGCCGGCAGGCTTGTTGGTAAGCGCAAGCACGTGGATGTTGCAATTCGAGTGCCCAAGAACGACACGCAAGAGAAGGAGAGCAAGGAAGAGAAGAAGAAGGTTCTAGGCTTTCCGAAGTTCCGGTACTCATCTGCGCAGACAGGAGTATCTTTTGGTGGCAAGGTCGAGGTAGAGGGCGTACATCTTGGCTGGATCTTGGCTCACGCGGGTCCAGACAGAGGGTCGCCCATCACCCATATTCAGAGTCCACGAACCCCAAGTCAAGTCAACAGGCGAGCCTTTTATGCAGCTGCAGATGAGGGGCATGGTGAGGCTGAGCCGCTTGACTGGCTGACAGAAGAAGACTTGAAGGACGGCCCAGAGGACCCTTACTACAAGGTGACACTGAAACAAAGGGATAGCCAAAGCTGGCCTTTTGGCGCAGCTGCTCTTCGCACCTTCTTCGAAGCATGCGCGGTCTACATCTTCACGATTTACTTGGGCTCGGAGCCAGATGAGTACTACTTGGAAAACTTTCAACAGCCGTGGAACATGGCGAGCAATGGCCGATTCAAAGTACCGTGGCCGTTTGTAACACCCGAACGATGGCGCGCCCCTGGCTCTGAGTACATATTTCAACTGTTTTGGTGGACATTCCTTGCTGGACTGCTGCTGAAAGTGTTCCTTGCGTCCTCGTGGCACCTATTTGATAGAAGCAGACTTGTGCGACACATCCTGGCTGCCGTGTATCCGCTGGCCATCACGGTGCCGTTAAATCTTTACCTACTTTACTGGTATGCTGCGCTGACGAACTGCCGGCAGTGTGCTGAATGGCATTGCGGCGCTTACAATTCATCTATTGGCTGGAATGTCGATGCAGCTGCCTTTCAGCAGGCTGGTGGTTGTGGCGTCTCCAACTTTGATGATCTTCTTCAGAACTACTCCCGTTTTGTTCGTAGAGAGAGGCAGCAATTTGAGGAGGCCGAGGCATGCGAGTATAGTACCAATGGTGCCATCGTCAATTACTTTTTCCACGCAAACTGGAATTTTAGTTTGCAAGGGGGTGCCTGTGGCGGCAACGGCTACAGCAGCAAGGAGTGGGTGCTTGTCACCATGTTGGATAGCCTATGCGGAATTGGCACTTTGCAGCCTTTGCTACTCAAGGGCTATGTTGACCCCCCAAGCGGGAAAGACTTGCCGTGGTGGATGTTTGCCGGAAGCATTCCAGGGAAGAAGGACAATTGCTCAGTTTTGGAAGGATGCTTGGCTGATGCGCTTTCAGGGGCTTCATTCAGCTATGTTTGAAATTTTGCATTTCGTTTCTTGCTTGGAACTTTTGCAGTTGCTTCGAGTATTGAGGCTTCACGGCATCCCTGCTTCCCAGCCCTAGCACCAACCCATTCCAGTTCCAAGCTGAGCTCCCCTGCTTGCATGGAAGATTGCCTTACATGAAACTTACATGCGCATCTCACGATATAGTGTCGGTGGGGCCTTTGGGTGGCGTCAGATTCGGTCACGACACCGCATTCTTTTGGTATTCTGAATGTTCTTTCCTTTGGCTTGTTTACTCTATTTCCCACTTGCTCAGCGCAGGCGGGCTCTCACATATCCTCAGGGGAGCAAAGTAAGCATGGCCGCCCCCAGGCTAACATCTCAACAATAATGAAGCTTTGACTGAGACCCTGGAAGTAAACATGGAGCGTACGATGTGCTCATGTTTGCACTAAAAGTGGTTGACATTCGCCTTGGTCTCCTTTGATGAGCTCTAATTGGTGCATTCGAGGAGAAGCCGCGCCCAGCTTTTCATCCTACGTTTTCTACCGCGCGTCAGAGAAAGACGCCTACACATATGGCTCTGTTTGCTTGTGTGAAGATGCTCGAGGGCACGTGCACTGCATCCGCAAGCAAGCCGGTTCTGTGGATCGTTGCATGTACTTCACAGGGCAAAGGGTTCTCCACGGTCCCAATCTCGAGTTTGAAACGGTGGCATCCGGGCTCCATATTTTCCCGGCCTTCGAGATGCTTTTGCTGCCCATTTTCGCCTTTATCAGCATGGCGGCCTGGGCGCAAATTCCACTTGGGTCCCTGGATAAGACAGACGAGCGCCTGATCACAAAATCTCAGCTGGAAATCCTCGATGTGTTTCTCTTCTTTCTGGGCTTTATTGTCCAGGATCAAAGCGACTCCACTTTGTCGACTACCATGTTTGTCCCGAGGTTTACCTCCTTGAGCTGGCTGAGTTTGGTGATCAACGTCTGGAGTTTCGCGTGGGTCACGCTGTACCTGTCGTCTTCTCTGCAGATCTTCTGCCGCGTTTTGGACGCGGACCCGGACAAGACGCCGAAGACCTGGCGGGACGTCAAGGCGATCCTCAGGGACTTGGAGCACGCCGTGGCTCGGGGCGAAGGCTTTGGAGAAAAAGCCGAACACGCCGCATCCGTTCCATCCGTTCCATCCGTTGCATCCGTTGCATCCGGCTCTCCATCCGTTCCCTTCGTTGCGGGCTCCGCTTCGGGCTGGGCCTTGGCCCGCGCGGCCGCGCGGAAGCAGCTCGTGGTCTACGAGAAGGAGATCCAGAAGCGGATCAAGCGAGGCAGCTCCATCTGGCTACAGACGGACAAAGAGGAAGAGGAGGAAGATAGGGAAGATGGGGAAGATAGAAGGAATAAGAAGGAGAAGGAAGGAAGGAAGAAGGAAATGGAGAAGGGAAGGAAAGAGCAGGAAATGCGAATGGGAGAAACGAAGAAGGAGAAAGAGAAATTGAGGAGCAGTACGTGCTCGGAGTGCTCGAGGTGGCGGAAGTGGACCATCGTGTGGAGCCCCAAAGTCAAGGACCTGAACATCGAAGAGGACTGCCCAGTGACGCTGTACGTGACCGGAGCCTGGCCTTGGTCCACATGTCCAGCGGATGTGTGGTGTTGCCAGAGTGTTGAGGAGTATTTGCAGATGAAAGGTCTTGACGGTCTTGCTGACCTGCCGCATGGGGTTAGGCGCCTGGACTTGCGGTACTCGGAGCTGTCGCAGGTCATGGCCACGTCAGGTTACACCTGCTGTGACTGCAGATATTTGGGCTGGCTTGGCTGCTGCAAACGGCAGCCGCGTTTCGAATGGAAAAAGATCAAGGAAGAGGATCCTCGAATATCCTGCCGCCACCCAGGTGGCCCTGACCAGTCTGACATCTACTACGATAAGGCTGCATTTCACTGGTTTGAGCGAAATCTGGAGTACTTCAATATGTGGCGAGGAGTTCTTTGTTTGGAGATACCGTTCGGCATAGTTCGTGCCTTTGATTGCATGTTCCTCGGTGGTTTCAGCAACACCTTCAATGTAATTCTCCTCATCAAAAATATAGCGTTCACCATCTTTAGCATCGCCTACTGCATGGTTTGCGGCAATCCTCGTTTAACATGCGGGCCTTGCTGGGACAAGCCAGTCGAACTAATATCAAAATGCATCGTCAACACGAAGATTGGAAGTGTTATCAAGCTTTCTGTGCTTATGCCGGTGCGCATTGTGCTGGAGGCACTGTCTTGCCTTGGCCGGGAATCTGCGGAAAGCAGAATGGCGGAATATGAGATGCAGCTGCGCATGGCTACATTGCAGATGGCCAAAGGGGGATCCAACCAGGAGCTTCGGCACCGACGCCGCTTGCTGAGCGCCTTGATCCGCCAGTACGGCGAGTGGCTGGAGGTGACAGATGTTAGGTCATTGATGAAAGTGCGAAAGAAGGTCAGGGTGAAAGACTTCATTTGAAGCTGTGCGTACCATGTGCGTACCACAAATCCTTTACTGTGCTGAAGACCACGTCACCTGGAGCACCGTTCTGTTGGATTTCGAGCATGTTCAATTTGTAATTCCGAAGACGACACATGGCTCGCTTGATCTGCAGCCTTCGAGCGTTCGAGAACGCTCTGAGCCGAAGCCCGTGCCAACTCTCAGTGGGAAATGGGTTGAGCGGATGTTGCTGCATTTCTGAGGCGCAAATCCTCGCGCAATAATGTGCCTCTGCCCCTTTGGCTCTTCAACCTTGGCATCATGGCTCTCGCATCTTGTTGTTGCTGCGCTGCTGCTGCTGATCCTTGTTATTGCTGTTGCTGCTGCCGATCCTTGTTATTGCTGTTGCTGCTGCTGATCCTTGCTGTTGCTGTTGGTGCTGCTGATCCTTGTTGTTGCTGTTGCTGCTGCTGATCCTTGCTGTTGCTGTTGGTGCTGCTGCTCTTGTTGTTGCTGTTGCTGCTGCTGCTGATCCTTGTTATTGCTGTTGCTGCTGATCCTTGTTATTGCTGTTGCTGCTGCCGATCCTTGTTATTGCTGTTGCTGCTGATCCTTGCTGTTGCTGTTGGTGCTGCTGATCCTTGTTGTTGCTGTTGCTGCTGCTGATCCTTGCTGTTGCTGTTGGTGCTGCTGCTCTTGTTGTTGCTGTTGCTGCTGCTGCTGATCCTTGTTATTGCTGTTGCTGCCGCCGCTGATCCTTGTTATTGCTGTTGCTGCTGCCGATCCTTGTTATTGCTGTTGCTGCTGCTGATCCTTGTTATTGCTGTTGCTGCTGCTGATCCTTGTTGTTGCTGTTGCTGCTGCTGATCCTTGTTGTTGCTGTTGCTGCTGCTGCTGATCCTTGTTATTGCTGTTGCTGCTGCTGATCCTTGTTGTTGCTGTTGCTGCTGCTGCTGATCCTTGTTATTGCTGTTGCTGTTGCTGCTGATTCTTGTTTTTGCTGTTGCTGCTGCTGCTGGTCATTGTTATTGATGTTGCTGCTGCTGTTGATCGTTGTTGTTACTGCTGTTGCTGCTGCTGCTGATTCTTGCTATTGCTGTTGCTGCTGCTGATCCTTGTTATTGCTGTTGCTGCTGCTGATCCTTGTTATTGTTGCTGCTGCTGCTGCTGATCCTTGTTATTGCTGCTGCTGCTGGTGCTGCTGCTGATCCTTGTTATTGCTGCGGTTGCTGCTGCCGGAGCCTTGTTATTGTTGCTGCTGCTGCTGATCCTGATTATTGGTTGTTGTTACTGCTGTTGCTGCTGCTGCTGCTGATCCTTGTTGTTGCTGCTGCTGCTGATCCTTGTTATTGCTGTTGCTGCTGCTGATCCTTGTTGTTGCTGTTGCTGCTGCTGATCCTTGTTATTGCTGTTGCTGCTGCTGATCCCTGTTATTGCTGTTGCTGCTGCTGATCCTTGTTATTGCTGTTGCTGCTGCTGATTCTTGTTGTTGCTGTTGCTGCTGCTGCTGATCCTTGTTATTGCTGTTGCTGCTGCTGATCCTTGTTGTTGCTGTTGCTGCGATCCTTGTTATTGCTGTTGCTGTTGCTGCTGATCCTTGTTTTTGCTGTTGCTGCTGCTGCTGGTCCTTGTTATTGCTGTTGCTGCTGCTGATCCTTGTTATTGCTGCTGCTGCTGATCCTTGTTATTGGTGTTGATGCTGCTGCTGATCGTTGTTGTTACTGCTGTTGCTGCTGCTGCTGCTGCTGATCCTTGTTGTTGCTGCTGCTGCTGCTCCTGATCCTTGTTGTTGCTGTTGGTGCTGCCGCTGATCCTTGTTGTTGCTGTTGCTGCTGCTGCTGATCCTTGTTTTTGCTGTTGCTGCTGCTGCTGCTGCTGCTGATCCTTCTTGTTGCTGTTGCTGCTGCTGCTGATCCTTGCTATTGCTGTTGCTGCTGCTGCTGATCCTTGTTATTGCTGTTGCTGCTGCTGCTGATCCTTGTTGTTGCTGTTGCTGCTGCTGATCCTTGTTGTTGCTGTTGCTGCTGCTGCTGATGTTTGTTATTGCATGTTGCTGCTGCTGCTGATCCTTGTTATTGCTGTTGCTGCTGCTGATGATCCTTGTTGTTGCTGTTGCTGGTGCTGCTGCTGGTCCTTGTTATTGCTGTTGCTTCTGCTGCTGATCCTTGTGATTGCTGTTGCTGCTGCTGCTGATCCTTGTTGTTGCTGTTGCTGCTGCTGATCCTTGTTATTGCTGTTGCTGCTGCTGATCCTTGTTGTTGCTGTTGCTGCTGCTGCTGATCCTTCTTGTTGCTGTTGCTGCTGCTGCTGCTGATCCTTGTTATTGCTGTTGCTGCTGCTCCTGATCCTTGTTGTTGCTGTTGCTGCTGCTGATGATCTTTGTCGTTGCTGAAACTTTTGTTGCTGCTGTTGCTGCTGATTCTTGTTGTTGCTGTGGTGCTGCTGATCCTTGTTGTTGCTGTTGCTGCTGCTGCTGATCCTTGTTATTGCTGTTGCTGCTGCTGACCCTTGTTATTGCTGTGCTGCTGCTGCTGATCCTTGTTGTTGCTGTTGCTGCTCCTGATCCTTGTTATTGGTGTTGCTGCTGCTGCTGATCCTTGTTATTGCTGTTGCTGCTGCTGATCCTTGTTGTTGCTGTTGCTGCTGCTGCTGATCCTTCTTGTTGCTGTTGCTGCTGCTGCTGCTGATCCTTGTTATTGCTGTTGCTGCTGCTCCTGATCCTTGTTGTTGCTGTTGCTGCTGCTGCTGATCCTTGTTTCTGTTGCTGCTGCTGCTGATCCTTGTTGTTGCTGTTGCTGCTGCTGATCCTTGTTATTGTTGCTGCTGCTGATCCTTGTTGTTGCTGTTGCTGCTGCTGATCCTTGTTATTGCTGTTGCTGCTGCTCCTGATCCTTGTTGTTGCTGTTGCTGCTGCTGCTGATCCTTGTTGTTGCTGTTGCTGCTGCTGCTGACCCTTGTTGTTGCTGTTGCTGCTGCTGATCCTTGTTATTTCTGTTGCTGCTGCTGCTCATCCTTGTTATTGCTGTTGCTGCTGCTGCTGGTTTTTGTTGTTGCTGCTGCTGCTGCTGCTGATCCTTGTTATTGCTGTTGCTGCTGCTGCTGATCCTTGTTATTGCTGTTGCTGCTGCTGCTGCTGCTGCTGATCCTTGTTGTTGCTGTTGCTTCTGTCGCTGATCCTTGTTATTGCTGTTGCTGCTGCTGCTGCTGACCCTTGTTGTTGCTGTTGCTGCTGCTGCTGATCCTTGTTATTGCTGTTGCTGCTGCTGCTGATCCTTGTTATTGCTGCTGCTGCTGCTGCTGCTGCTGCTGCTGCTGACCGTTGTTGTTGCTGCTGCTGCTGCTGCTGATCCTTGTTATTGTTGCTGCTGCTGCTGATCCTTGTTATTGGTGTTGATGCTGCTGCTGATCGTTGTTGTTACTGCTGTTGCTGCTGCTGCTGATCCTTGTTGTTCCTGCTGCTGCTGATCCTTGTTGTTGCTGTTGCTGCTGCTGCTGACCCTTGTTGTTGCTGTTGCTGCTGCTGCTGATCCTTGTTGTTGCTGTTGCTGCTGCTGATCCTTGTTATTGCTGTTGCTGCTGCTTCTGATCCTTGTTATTGCTGTTGCTGCTGCCGCTGATCCTTGTGATTGCTGTTGTTGCTGCTGCTGATCCTTGTTGTTGCTGTTGCTGCTGCTGCTGCTGATCCTTCTTGTTGCTGTTGCTGCTGCTGCTGATCCTTGCTATTGCTGTTGCTGCTGCTGATGATCCTTGTTATTGCTGTTGCTGCTGCTGCTGCTGATCCTTGTTATTGCTGTTGCTGCTGCTGCTCATCCTTGTTATTGCTGTTGCTGCTGCTGCTGATCCTTGTTGTTGCTGTTGCTGCTGCTGCTGCTGATCCTTGTTATTGCTGCTGCATTCCTCCTCCGTTCGTCATCTCTTGGTCTTGCCTCCGGCGCCATCATTTTCCAGCTTTTCCAATGTAGAAACGTAAATAGAAAGGAAAGATAATTAAAAAGCTGGCAAATGAAAGAGAGAAAGAACAGGAATGGAATGACTCACGATCCAATTCTTGTCTCTCAGTCACCAGCCTCTCTCTCCCGTGTACACACGATCCCTCGCTTCGCTCCAAATAAGACCAATAGAAGCATTAGATAAAAGAAGATGACATATAACCTTCTCTCATTTCCTTTTTCTACTTCTTCCAAGTCTTTGACGGAGTGGAATTTCCAAGTGCTGAAGTGATGAGGAAATGGATAAAGGATGCCAAAGGCTCAGGAAATAGGAATGCATTCTACTGTCGTAAAAACCCACAAATTAATAGGCGAGAGCCAGGATTCAAGGATTTATTGTCTATCATCTCATTTCCTATGTCGTGAGACGCTTCCTTCAAGGCATCACACTTCTCTTTCTATCTCTTTATCATCATTCATCTTCATTTTGTATTTATTAATGCCTTATCTAATTTCATTTGTTTATTGGCTTATCAGGAATTAACTTATGAACGAAGGAATCCCACGGCATTAGATAGTGAGTTGATACCCTCGGGAAATCTTAGGAGTTAGACCGTGGGAAGGTGTACCAGTTCCTGAGATGAAAGGAAAGAGTGATCCAAGATTCCATGCCTCGCGGCTCATTTCCATATCTTTATAGTCAATTATCACGATGACATTTATGGCCCAGAGGTACATGAGGTAGATTCTCATGTAGTCAGTTGCATGTTGTACATTCAAGTCAATGCCTGAGCATGATCCAATCACTGCTTTGGCTCAAGTGCTGAAAAGAGCGCGTTGCTCGCGCTACCCACAAGGTTAAGGGAGAGGTCGCAGTCACGGAGGAGTTCGTTCCTTTTAAGGTCCCGGGTTCCCCCGTTGGTGACAAAACTGTGTTTCCCTCTCCTTTGAGTGGTTATCAGCCGTAACGCTTTTCGGGTAAACAAACCCTTCCGTGACTGCGACCTGTTGGTCGCACATGGAAGCCGGCCCTCACCGCGGCACTCGCGGTGGGAAAGGGCCGCGCGCCCGTCTATTTAACACTCTGCAACAGATCGTCGTCGACGAGTACAAGCGGCAGAACAGACGATTCCGGTGGATCAGGTTTGCGGACGCCTCGAAGCAACAGGTCGAGGCGCTCTTTTCCTGGCGTAAGTCATTGGATAGTTGGCACCTGTGGAATTTTGACCAAGAGGCCTTCGAAGTGATCCAGGCCGCGGACAACGCTTATCAGCAGCGTCTCGCATCGGTTGAAACCACAGGTGTGGTCTTGCCGCAAGGTGTGCCATCTCAGGATCAAGCCGCAGCCTCAGGCGCGGGGGAAGCAGCGAGCAGTGCAGCGGACTGGCTACGCCCTCCGACGCCTCCTTCAGCTTCCTCCTGGCTGCATGATTCGCGCACTCCTTTGCCTCGCATCCGGCCATCTGCAGAGGAAAGACAAGCCGCCAAGTCAACACTTCGCGGGGTGTACGCTAAAGCTGCGGAAACGCGGCGGGAGAGCAGCAGGGAACGGTCAGCACAAAGATCGAGGTCCCCATCGCCCCGAAGGTCGAGGTCTCCATCATCATCACCGAGACGAGGACCAACTGCTGCTACCCCTGTGGAACAACGGGCACACAGTGTTGAACCCGCGCTTGCGCGGGAGGGCAGGCCATCTAGGACTTCCCTTGCCACACGGCCCATCGTTTTGGCTCCACAGAATAGCATATACCCTGTGACACGATTTGACGAGCACGGCACCTGGGTACTCGTTCGGGAGGCTTCACCCAGACCCCTAATCACATCTAAAAAAAGGATCGTGCCAGAACATCTCAGTTTTAGATGCCCGACATCTGTTTTTTAGATCGTGTTGCGTTGGTGTCGTGTGAGAAACACTCTGCAATTGCCTCTGCAAGGAATAACATGCGTCCGTTTGGGTCGGCGTTAGACGCGCGACTGCGCTTTGAAGGCTGCAAACATTTCCCCAACTCTGGTTTTTGGAACGCACGCGGGTCAAGGCTCATGAGGGTTACACATGTGCGTTAGCAACATTTGGTTTCCGTCAGGGCGCCCCGAAAGACACCCTGCCGCAACATGTTTCCTACCAGGTCTTGTGGGGCAAGGTGTTTCGAAGGGCTTCCTTGCAACAGGACCAGGGTGCCAAGAAAACAATTTGACATTGGATTGGTTATGGTGTTTTTTTGCAACGGTATCATCCATATCACCCTGAAGGATAACCAGCTTGCGGCGACGCTCAGGCTGATGCAGAGCAATCTGGGGCGCGTGATTTCGGCACTTGACGAATGAGCGGAAAACGGCAGCAGCGGCCGGCGCAGTGCAAAGCTGAAAGTGTGCTTTTTGACCTTGGCTGACTGGGCCCCCATCCACGCTGAAATTACCGCCCGGCAAAAAGCTGGTGTGTAGACACCGCTTTCGCGAAGATCTTTGCCCCCGTTGACCCAAACACGGGTCTTGTTCTTGGACCTGCTCTTGTAGTGGTAGCACTTCTTTTGTTGATCGCTTCTGGCCTTGTAAGCCACGTGGAACTTCATCGCAGTTTTGCACACGGTCCACTTTTTTGCCCAAAGTCTTCTTGTTGACCAGCGCTGCGTCAGGTGTTCTTTGAGGAGTTGCTCCAACCGCGCTTGAACTTTTTTGCTCCAATTCCGCCTCAGACGGGAAGAGAACACCTCCTCGATGCTGGTCATGAGAACTGACGGTTTGGGCAGGTCATGGCCGAAACATTTCATCCATGTGTGTAGGCGAACTCCGTCAACAAATTCCAGAAAACGGGCCATTTCAGGAAAATACCAAAGACTACTCGTGGCCGGCTGTTCCAACCTTGGGTCAGAGCGATCGCCAGATATCCTAGAGGGGCTTACACTGAGCACTGGAGCACGATGACAAAACAACAACTGCTTTTAGGGTCGTTTGCTGGGTTTCTTTGTTTGTGGCGTGGTTTGAACAAAGCACTGATTTGGCCAAGGGTCAGCCAATGAAGGCCCCTCGCATGCGCCACTGCCAACAAGACCAAGAAGTTGACCACCAACTGGTTGGATGCCCTGACTTTTCCCCTAAACTGGTCCCCGTACGGGTAGCACATGTTCCTCCTGTGATAGCTGCTGGAGAGAAAGACGAACAGCCCGCATGGAGGGCCCGCCAGCATCATTCCAAAGCGTTCCTTAGATTTCTACACTCGCGCTGTAGCGCCATAGTTTGTGCTGCGAAACTGGCTTACAAGAATTGTCGTCCAAGCCACCACCCGTAGGATGAGTCCCAGAACGAACCAAAAGCCTTGCTGGGTCAAGATGTCGTGCGAATCACTGATGCGTATGTCAACTGCATCACAGGTCAAACCCACCTTTCTACACTCCGTTGTGAAGTTGCCGTCCCCTGCAAACATATCAACAGCTTGTAGGTCTCGTTCCTGGTTGCTGTCATCAAACTGTTGCACTTTGCGGTGAACCGTTTCCAGGTGCAGGCTTGCGTCAAAAAAAACTGTCATCGGCATGAACTTGCCGGGCGAAGATGCCATCCAAGGCCGGCAAGAGCTCGGCGGCCATGGCGGAACGTTCGCTTTGCCTTTCGAGGCGTGGGCTTAAGGTTGGCCAATGCTGCAGCAAGGGTTCGGCATCGGTTCATTGCAAGCGCAAACGGTGCATGACACGATGCAAGCAAGAGTCGCACTTTCACATGTTGAGCTTGGGCGTGCTGCTTCTTGTGCAGAAACTGAACTTTCCATTGGATGCAGTTGTGCCATGTTCGCCTGTGACAAGACCTGGCAATCCTCGCGATGAAGCCGTTTAGGCTTTCATCTTTATAAGTGCTGTAGCTTTTCGGGTTGCCCTTCTCTACGCTTCGCGTGAGTAGGTGCAACATGAAATGGCACTTTGGCGTCAGGGCTCCCCCCCCCCGCTGGAAAAAAACGAGAAACCGACAATAGAAGCCCAAGGCTGTTTGCACTTGGGCACGGGTGAGAAACCGAGCCCCTGTTTGGAAAACTGTGTTCAGATTTACTGCTGCTTGCGCAGCAACTCCGAGCCACTGCGCTTTCTGGGCATCTCCAAGTGCTAAAGATTGGAAATCCAAGCGGTGGTTTTCAAGCATGTAGGCCACAAACTGCGCCAGGCCGTGTGACTCGCCAGCTTTGCAGCTGAGGTGCGGGCTCCCAGTTGTTCCGATCATGCCGACCGTGAGGTTCCAAACCTAAGTCGGTTTAGTTGCAAGTTGGCAGGACAACTTTGCGTTTGGGGCCCAACAAGTTTCAGACAAGAAGCTTCCGTTCCCCGAGCCCTCCAATCTGCATCCTTTCGTTGTTCCTTGTACCATTGAAAAAGTTCTGCTTTGATGGCCAGAAGAGCGACTTTTTTCTTGTCACTTGCATCCACGCGTCCACCACTGTTTGCAGGAGCCCACAGCCCCGTATCCAAAAAAAAGTTGATGCACAGCGACACCAGCAACTGTAAGGGGCCCAGATGCCAAGTGTGCATGATGTCCAAACTGAATGACTCCAGCCCAACACCAGAAAGCGCCAGCAATGGGCAGTCGTGGGTAAGCCTGGCGTCTGCTGACGCCGTCCAAAAAGTCGCTGGGAAAGGGGTCGGGGTAAACTCAAACTTGCCAACGTCGGGCAAAGCTTGCGAGGGTAGTAGCCGCGCGTGCTTTGGCAACCCCAGTTCTGGAAAGGCTCTCACAAGGACTCTCCCCCGAAGGCGTTCTCGATATTCCAAATTCCGAAAAAGCAAAGACTGCACTGCCGCATCCTGGACGACCAACACCTGCGAGCGAATGTTTCAAACATTGTTTAAGTTGAAAAACCGGCTTAGGATTTCCAGGGGGCCTTCGTGCTGTCGGCAACATCTTTGGCATAGTCTTCTGTTTGGTACAACGGAGACAGAAGGTTATCAGCGGTAATGTTGTCCACGTCAATCTCTAGCATTTCGGGCAGTGTGACCCTGCAAAGAGGGCAGGGGTGGGTCTTGTGCGCCCAATAGCGCAAGCCGAACACTTGCAAAAATGCAGGCCAGTCCCCTTGGATGTCGATCACGGCATAGCGAACAGGGTAACCCTCCTCCAATCTTTTGAGATCCTCCACCCAGGCGAGAAGAAGAGGGTGCAGCGTGCACCAGCCTCGACAGCCACAGCTGCACATCTCATCACTGCCTCAGGGCGCGTTTCTTGCACTCACTTGGGGCGCCCTACAGAAACTGAAACTCCCCCGCCCCCCTATTAATGTTTCAGAAAAACCCTGATAGATCCGACATTTCGAAGGTGGCCGTTGGGTTAGCGGAACGTGTCACTTAAAGGCATCCAAGGGTCGGACAAGAAAGGATAAAAACTTCTGCCCAGAAAGGATGTCGGTGACATAAAAACCCATGAAGGAATCGTGGTTGGTGTACTGAACTCCATCCCAATAGAGCGCAATGGGGCGAACCGTGATCTGATTGTTTTCCAGTTCTGCTTGGACGACAACGGGGTGGTTCTTGTAGATGCCAATGTCGCCGACAAGCCGCGGCATGTTTGCCCAGGTTTGTGCAGCGAGGTCATCGACGTAGTCTTTGAAGGCCTGGGAGGGCAAGTAAACAGGGATGTCCTGCTCAACGCGACGTGTTTCTCTTTTGACGTACATGGGCGTGAAGACTCTGGTCAAATTGGGCTCGGGGTAGATCTTGCCCGCGGCATTCTTAATGTGTTCACTTCCGTGTTTTACAGCCTGGCTGGGGTGCACTGCCAAATCTTGGACACCCAGGCCACCAGCCTTGGTGCACCAATAAGCAATGGTTGCAACGGTTGATGCAGGTAGGCCGTCAAGGCAATATTTCTCCAACAGAAATGTACGAAGCTGTTTGCCAGCCTCAGCTTTCAGAGCAAGAACTGCAGGGTCTTCAAAGGCGCCATGTTCAGAACCATCATTGATTAGCCGCGCCCGTTTGAACATGATGCAGAGCCAAAATTCTTTCCCAGAGGCGTGAGCGCATGTGTGCGTGTGTGTTGCAACGTGCTGGGGCAGGCGCACAACGGCCACACGCAGCAAGCAGGCACGGAGCTCAGCCTTTTTTCGACGACCCCGCCAGCGAATGTTGCACTTGTTTGCCATCAAGTGTTGAAAGTTCCCTACCTGCACTCAAAACCGAAGCCTCAAGCCTTGCGGGCCCGCTTTTTTGCTGTGGGCTCCGAGGGGCCACTCATGGCCTTGCTCATGTTGTGAACAATTGTGGCAATCGAATCCATCCTCAGCTTCCAACATGTAAGGGCGCCGGTGCGAAGCACATGTAATGCGTTTCTGTTTCAAAACATTTTGCCCTTTTTTGGGGGGACCCCAATACCCCACAAACTCACAAGTTGACGAGCCCTTCAAACCCCAATAGTGGAACAAACCTTAATTTTGCACAAGGATCTGGCTCGCAATATTTTGGGAGCGATCGTTGAACAACAGCAACAGCGGCGCGTAGCGGTCGCCGTACTGCTTCTTGAAGCCTTTCATCGCCTGCGGGCTGATCAGGGTGAGCTTGAGTTCGTTCACGAAGTCGATCAAACTGTCGCCGTCCTTAGGGGTAAGGACATCCTTGAAGGACTGCGTCAGCTCCTTGTAGTCCACGAGGAAGGATTTGGCCCACCTCCACTCGGAAGGCAAATCATCGCCAAGCTGCAAGATCTTCTCCATGATCTGCTGCGACTTCTGGACCTTGCAGATGATATCCTTGGCGGTGTTCTCTGCCTCCTTCTCCTGGCTGAGCTCCTTCTTGGCCTTTGGCTTCGCGCTGCCCTTTGCGTTAGCTCGCCGGCTTCCTCGCTTCGCCTTCTCTCCGCGCTCCTGGCCATCAACAGCAGCTGGGTCGCCAAGAGGGGGGGCGCCCGGCGGCGATGGCGTGGAGGCAGCTGGGACTGCCAGACCTTCCTCTACCCCGGGCACTGCGATCTGCATTTCAGCCCACCCTTTGAGCCCGTGGGGGCTTTTGACAACATCGTCGATGCTGCAAGCTTCGGGCGCCTTGCGGTGGAAGGCCGCGTACTTGCGGATGGCCTTGCACTTGTAGCTCTCGGTCTCGAAAGTTCCAGATGAGTCATGCATCGCCACAACATCCTTCCAAGCCTCCTCCGAGGTGCTGGTGATCAGCCTCTCCACCAGCAAGTAGTTGTGCGCCTCCGTCCAGCTGTTCCACCGCACGAAGACATCCTGCGCCACACAACAAAAGCGCAAACTTAGAAACTTTTCAAAGGGGCGCCGATCTAAACATAGATGTCCCTTCTAGGAACCCCTGTCCGGCCACTTCTCGCAGTTCTTGATGTAGCACGCCGCTTGCCGCACAGCTTCCGGCACAGCCACGCCGCCCAAGTGCGCCTGCAGCTGGAGTTCACTTTTGAAGCTGCCGATCTCTGAGTGCTTGGTGCTCTCCCGCTTCTCATGGATGCGCTTGTGGCAAACAAAGTCGAAGTTCCGCTGCATCGCCCAGCTTGTCCGGAATTTGCGCTTCAGGTCGTCAAAGAGCCACTTGTAGCACTCCCGCATGTCCGGGTGCTTGATGAAAGCTCGGTACACGGCTGCGCCAATCGGGCCTCGCGCGTTGACATCCAAGCCTTTGCACGCCCATCCGTCAACTCCAAGATCCGTGTTCTCCAGCATGGTTTCCGTGACGTCTTCCACCGCCATCCCGTGCTCAGACGCGTAGAGCTGGAAAGCTCTCTCACGAGTGGGCTTCTCTGCAGCCGCTGCTCCTGGGGCCGGCGGGACTCCTGCAAGGGCGTCCGGCTGCACGCTGCCCTCCGCCGCATCTCCATCCGCTTCCATCCAGCGTTCTCGCCGCAGTTGCCGCTGCCTGTTCACTGGTTTTTGAGCAAAATGCTTCCAAAAAAGCAACAAACCCCAACGATGACAGGGTGGTGAAACCTCATCGGCCCCTCATCGCCCCAGAAAACTACCCTCATTGCACCCTCATTGCATTGGTTCCCTTCTAAATTAAAGCAACCAAGCCAAGGTTTGGGGGCCCTCATCGCACCCTCATCGCGCCCTGACACCCTACCCTCATCGCACCCTCATCGCCCGTGCTTTCGAGGCTCATTGCACCCTCACCGGTTGGCTGCTGGGCGCTCAGCGAGGTCTCATCGCTGTGAACTAGACTACTTGTAAAGCAAGCTGGGCAAATCTTGGGGGGGCTCATCGGAGGCTCATCGTTAATTTGGGGGACCCCTCATCGTTGGCTCATCGAAGCACGCGCTGACTCTTTTTCCAGCTTGATCACTGCAAGCTCGTCCGAAGCAAAAAAACCAAACGTTGCAGGCGACCAACTGTAATTTCCCTTGACCAACTGTGATGTCGCTTTGCTTTGGGCTGCCAGGCGAATCAGCAAACCTACTCCACCAAACATGTCTTTAACTCAAACACAAACAAACTTGAAACCTGGGTAACAACCTTATTGTTATGGTTTGGTTTGCGCGGCTTGTCACTCTCACCCTTTCACACAGCACACAGGGAAAAACACATTGCTGGGCAAAGTTTGCACAAAACAAAGCGTTTGGGTATCATTCATTCGCAACGTGACATTGGTCAAGCGGCTCAGTACTTTTCACTGGCCAGCCGACACAGGGAAGCGCCAATTGGCAACCGACCCGCAGCTAGGCGCGGCCACGCTTGTTGCCGGGACGCCTGGGCCAAGTCTGCGCTCGCAACACTAACACAACGTCAACCCTGGATTTGTTACAAACAAGTTTTGCTGGCGACACTTGTTAACCCTGTCAGCAGGGACCCTTGTTTTGCAAGTAACCCCCAGCAAGCCTAACTGAAATCAGAATAGCTTTAATGAGGGGTTTGTTGGTTGTGGATATGGAGACATTTGCGGGGCACGCCTCCCCAGTCCGTAGAGCAGGCTGCACCAAGGTCAGGCCTGAGAACGTTGCGTGGGAGCGCCGGGCGCAACACGCGTTTGCAAGTGAAATGCAACCCTATCCATCACTGATGCGCATCGGCGAAACACGGGCCTTTTTCCACTCACCGCCAGCCACTTAGACTGTGTACATGTGGGCCCTGCATCTATGGGACCAATGCTCCGTTTGGAGCTTGATCTGGCACCGGGAAGATTCCCCCAAAGCTTCGCAAAAAGAACATTTCCAGATGCAGAACATGTTGCACAACTGGTTCTGCGCTTGCAGCTGCGACAACCGGGCTTGCGCCCGCACCCTCGCGTTCGGCCGCAAAGGCGACATCGTGGAGTCCGAGTCTGCGCCTTGCTCCGCCCTCTCTGCGTTCTCCACCGCGCCAGTTGCTGACCACGCTGCGAGCGACAACGCTGCATCTGCGTCTGCTGCTTCTTGCGCTGTCCATGGTTCTGAATCGTCTTCCGGCTCTGCCGCGAACTCCTCAAAGGTTGCAAGCGCCGTAGTAGGAGAGGAAGTAGAGTTGGCCACGGCCAAATCCAGCCCCGCCGCCATCTCCGGCACAGCCTCCGACGCCAGATCCGGCGCCGCCCCCCCTTCCTCCCGGCCTGCTTCCACCCGATCAAAAAGCTCTGCCAAGCCCTCGGCGCAGTGCGTTAGGACACCCGCCCACTCGCTGATGATCTGCGCGCTGGTGATGATTCCGCGTAGGTGGTTGGCAAGCGGAGAGCGGCTCCTCCATCGGGAGCTTGGAGCAACAAGCCCTGGCACTGCCACTGCACGCCTAGGATCACGCTCGGGCATTTTGAGCCGAGCTGGCAACTCGGCTTAAGCGCTTCAGCCTCAGCAGTGTTGGTCAAGGCTGCCTTTCAAAGGGAAAATCGATACTTTGAACCCCAGACAACCGGACAAGCGTGCCGCCCTACACTGCTTCTAAAGCGGCCACGTCAAGCTGCGCATATGGGAGTCATAAGCGCATGGGCTATGGGAACCCTGGATTAAGAAATCTGACACGTCTTTCACAACTGCCCCTTGGACCAACCAGGCAAGCTTCAGGGGCGCCCTTTTTCCTGTGATATTCCATCGCCAAAACGTCAAAAAGGGCGCTTTGGTTCCGCATCAAATTGGGCCTATGGGAACCCTGGATTAAGAAATCTGACACGTCTTTCACAACTGCCCCTTGGACCAACCAGGGGCGTCCTTTTTCCTGTGATATTCCATCGCCAAAACGTCAAAAAGGGCGCTTTGGTTCCGCATCAAATTGGGCCTATGGGAACCCTGGATTTCGAAATCTGACACGTCTTTCACAACTGCCCCTTGGACTCGGACCAACCAGGGGGCGTCCTTTTTCCTGCGATATTCCATCGCAAAAGGACGCCGATATCTTTTCACTTTGGTTCCGCATCAAATTGGGCCCATCAACTTCTAACGCCCTACACGTAACTGGCGCCCCTTGCGCTTGCTTTGACACCAGAAACTTCAGGAACTCCACAGAAATGATCCCTGTAAAAATTCGGAGAACGGCCCACCCTTTAGAAATGGTTTGGGGGGGTTGGGGCTTGCTCTGACACCAGAAACTTCGAAATGGTTTGGGGGGCATATTGATGTTAGGTTAGTCAACGCGCTCTTTCTGAACAGTCAGGGCTTGGGTTTCCACGACCTGTCACGTCATGCGAAAGGGCTGCCCACATTTACTCTACAATGCTGGGGACCCAAAAGAGAAACAAATGTTGGTCAAGTCTGCCGGCCGCTGCCTCAGCCCGGGCAGAAGCGCTAGTCCAAGGCTGGAGGCCAGGGCGCTGCGAAGATGCTACCTGCAGGCAGATATCTTGTGTTGGACGTTCTTTGAAAGTAGATTGGAAAACCCTTGTCTTACCCTAGACAAGCCATTCCCTCGCCCATGCGCGTGGCAGGATGGAGCTGGCCTGGGATCGGCAACGTCTCCAAATTCTCCAGCAAAGTGGCTTGCTCAGTCTGGTCGATGAACTCCCCCAGCATTGGGGGCGTTGTGTCCCCCAATAAATTGTTTGTGGCGGGGGCCGGGCAACTTGTTGGGTCATTTTGAGCTTCTGTTAGCTTCTCTGGAATGGCTGCGGGCTTCTCTGTTGGCTTCTCTGTTGGCCCTGTTGGGTCATCCTCCACTTCGCTAGGCGGCTGCGTTGCTTTTGCCGCCTTTGTTTGCAAATACTCAACCAGTACAGACTCCGGGGCAACACCATATTCGCCGCTCGGATGTTCCATCAAGTAGTCAAGAAGCTTGCCTGAGAGGTTGAGGTCCAACAAGGCTTGTTTCCTGTCTTTTAGACCGGACTCTGGCAAAGTGCCGACGGCGACCTCAGCAGTAGCCATTTTCATGACGGCCATGGCTTCACCAGCTCCTTGTTCCCCCACCACCAATTGGGCCTTCTGTTGCCACTTGCTGGCATCTGATTCCTTTTTCATGCTGACCACAATGTCAGCTCGGCCTTTTTGGGGTTTCTTTAAAACCCGCCAAAGCTCAAGCTTTCCTTCCACCGCCTTCTGCCAGCTTGCCTCTGCCAAGAGCGTGTCTGCCTCGCGCTCCAGGCTGTCGGCGGGAGGCGCAGCAGGGGCCGCAGCAGAAGTTTTCGGCGTTGGCTTTGCCTTTGGCTTGGGCTTTGGCTGCTCAACGGCGATCATGGCACGCCAGTCATCCTTGGTTTGCATAGGAGCCCCTTTTCCCCGACAACAACGCCTAGCCCCGTACACTTTTCCTGAAAGCAAGAACATGTGACAGTGCAAGGGCTCCAGTGTTAACATCTGAGAACCAGAATGATGTTTCTTTTCAACCTCGAGCCATCAAAAACAACTTCTACATATTGGCCGCTCGCCCGCGGCCTGCAGTCTAGGCACCTGAGTAATGTGGTGAACCGTGTAGATGTCACCATCCTTGAACTTGCATTGCAAAGGGTCCACACGCTTGGCATCCGGGGCAAGGGTGGGTTTCAAGGAAAACTCGATCGGGCCCCTCAGGCTGCCGTTCAAAATTGGCTTGCGCCACGCCAGCTTGTGTTGCTGCGACCAACCATACTCGAACTGCGCCAAAGGCTCCGCTGCTTTTTGCTTCGGCATGGCCGTTCTGGCCAAACCTCAGGGCTCTCTCCCTAATGTAACCCGGTTTTATTTCAGGACCCCTTGCTGAAAGATCAAGCCACCCCCTCCCAGAAAGGAAAATATGCTGCGTATGCCTGGCAACTTTCGTGGCTGACTTCCTTCAGCATCAACTCCATAACAGAGCGGCGCTCAGGCAGCGGTGGCATGAATGCTGGGGTGGATCTGGGCGCCGCCCGGCTGCAGGCCGGCTGGGCTGGCGTGTCCTTAGGCGCGCGCTGGTTGAAACCAGCCCCTTACTCGTTAAAAACTAAAAGCAAACAAAGCCCCTAAAAATTGAATTGCGTGGGGCCCCTGCAGCAGTTCTGCGGCAACCCTAACCCCAGCAGCGTTGACCCTAATCTGATCGACTTGTTGGCGGGCTGCTTTTGTGCTGCCAGCAAGGCACTGGCGTTGACGGCTTGGCTGGCGGGGTCGTTGGCGACAGCTTGGGCTGCAGCTTGGGCTTGGGCTCGGGCTTTGGCTTGGGTTTGGGCTTTGATTTGGCGGCCGTTTTCTTGAGGAGGTTTTCCGACGATTTTGATCTTTTGATTTTGATGGCGTTGAGTGGCTTCTGGATGCGCTCTTCCTTGTCAAAGTCTTTGGCCCCCTTGGCCTTTGCTGGGCTTGGCTTCTTTTGCTGGTCCTTTGCCTCATATTTTGCATCTGCTTTCTCATCACCGGCCTCGACGGCCGCCTCCTCCTCGTCTCCCCCTTCTTCCTCTTCCGTTTCAACAGCGCCCGAAGATGAGCCAGCCGATGAGGTGGACGAGGAAGTTGTTTTCTGCTGCTTGTTGTCTTTGGCCACTTGGCTGCTGGCGCTGGCTGGCCTTTTGCA